GAAGAAGATACAGTCAACGTCGATGTTGTTACAGAAATCTTCCTCTTGGACCCAGCTAGCGACACGGCCGGCGAAAAGGTGGCAAGTTTCCCCAAAGAGTCTGTGCAAGCCAAGTCTGGGGAGAAGACGTCGGTTACAGGTTCAACCGTCATCAGCAATCCTCAGCTCTGGGGCCCTCCACCTACGCAAACACCTCATCTATACGTGGCGATCACGAAGTTATATAACTCTGACGGGGATGAGATAGATCGATACGAGAGTAATTTCGGTATTCGAAGCGTCGAGTTCACTGCAAATGATGGACTCTTGGTCAACGGCGAACGAATTCAGATACACGGTGTCAACCAACACCATGATCTGGGCGCAATCGGAGCAGCTTTCAACACGAGGGCGGCAGAACGGCAGTTGGAACTGCTGCTAGAGCTTGGAAGCAACGCTATTCGAATGTCACATAATCCTCCCGCCCCTGAGCTTCTCCATCTCACGGACAAAATGGGATTCCTGGTTATCGACGAGGTTTTCGACAGCTGGAACCTGAACAAGACAGACAACGACTTCCACATCATCTTCCCAGACTGGCACGAGGCCGATCTGCGCTCCTTCATGCGCCGCGACAGAAACCACGCATCCGTCATCGCCTGGAGTTACGGGAACGAAGTTCTTGAGCAGCGATATGGTGGCACGGAGGGGGCTGAGCTCAGCCGCACTCTGCGCGCGTTTGTCGAGGATGAAGATTCCAGCCGGCCTTCGACGGCGTCTCTGAACTACGCACAACCAGGGAATGACGGAGACGAATTTACGCAGACCATGGACTTGTTGGGCCTCAATTACCAAGGATCTGGCATCCGCGACCTGCCCAACTACTCACACCTAAGCGGCATACACACCAGCCCGGCATTCCCGCTGTTCCGCGAGACCTTCCCGGACAAGTTCCTCTTCACGAGCGAATCGGCCTCTGCCCTCAGCACCCGGGGCACGTACTTCTTCCCAGTTGCCGACGACAGCGGGGCGCCTGTTAATGAAACATCTGGTGGCAACAAGACGCTGGCTCAGGTTAGCGCGTACGAGGTGTACAGCGCTGACTTCGGATCGTCCGCTGACAGGGCGTTTGACCAGCACGATAGGAACCCTTACGTGGCCGGCGAGTTTGTCTGGACCGGGTGGGATTACCTGGGCGAGCCGACGCCGTACTACTCGGCGAGGAGCTCCTACACGGGCATCATCGACCTGGCCGGCTTCAAGAAGGACCGGTTTTACCTGTACCAGGCCAGATGGCGGCCCGATCTGCCCATGGCACACATCCTGCCCCATTGGAACTGGCCCGAGAGGCAGGGGGAGGAGACGCCAGTCCACGTCTTCACATCGGGCGACGAAGCGGAGCTGTTCTTGAATGGGGAGTCACTTGGGCGGAAGAAGAAGGAGGAGTACAAGTACAGGCTTCGTTGGGATGATGTCAAATACGAGCCTGGCGAGCTACATGTGCTCGCATACAAGGAGGGCGAGCAGTGGGCGGAAGCAACTGTACGCACGACCGGCGAGGCCAGAGGGATTCGTCTGACTGCTGACCGCTCCAAGATTGCATCTGACGGATTAGACCTGTCATTCATCACTGCCGATATTATTGACGAGAGTGGGGATGTGGTTCCAGTCGCTTCGAATGAGATTCATTTTAGTGTCTGTGGCGGCGGGGGAAAGCTGGTGGCTACTGACAATGGCGACCCTGCGGACCTGAATGTGTTTCAGAGTAAGACGAGGAGAGCGTTTAGTGGAAAGGCCCTTGCTATTGTGAGTGCTGAGGGGGGGCAGAGCGGCAAAATAACGGTTGTAGCGAAGAGTGAAGGCCTTGAGGGTGCGAAGTTGGTCTTGGAGGCAAGCTGAGAGCTCTCTAATTATCTTTGATGGAAGGGTATCTATTAGGATATATTCAAAAGGGTTTCTTCACGATGTTCATGCCAGTGGTAACCCAACTAAGACTTCTCGTAGGCATCTCTCCTCCAGTACAGTTCTATGTAATGCCATGCTCGAGCCAAAACTAAACCCTCGTCCTTGCTAAAGAGCTTCTTGCTCTTGGCCATGGCCCTCGGAATCGACCTCGTCTGTGTCTGCAGCTTGGTTTTTCGGTATCCATGGCCCCTTTTCTTCTTCCGTTGCGTTGTGGAAAGCTTCTGCTCGCTTCAGAGTTTGCACATCAAGGTCTGTGGTATAATACCTCTCGTCGGAGAGCTTCAACCGCACCTCCTCCGTGTTGGAGAGCACCATGTCGTCCTTCACCAGACGTCGCTGCCCGTCAAACACGGCCAGAACTCGATGTCTTATCGTCATCACCGATGGATTGAACCCCCAAGATGGAGGGTACGCCTTTCCACTAACCTTGCGGCTCCTGAACTTGATGTTCGACGGCCCTCCCTGTGAGCGTCCAGAGCTGCGTTGCTTCTGGATCCCATGTGATACCCCTTTCTTCTTTCTCCTCGAACTCGACGCTACAACTATGTCTGACGGAGTCGGCTCTGTATTATCGTCGCTCGCATCGGAGTCGCTGTCGTTTTCCAGTCCCGGGGGCTTCAGGGACAGGTTATTTCTCGCAAGTGTCGCAAGGACTTCTGCGTCGTCCTCGACCTCCGCCAGCCTCATCGTGTTGATCGCCTCGCCCTCGTCCTCGTGCTGCAGGGTCTGCAGCACGCAGTCCTCCAGGTGCTCGAACAGCGCGTGGACGCTGGGCAGCGTGTAGGCGCAGATACTACACCTCGTCGGCGACAGTGCTGCCGAGCTCGGCTGCCCGGCGGCCTTCCCCGGCGCAGACGCAGCGAGCTCGGCGCCGTGGGCAGTCGTCAGGTGCTTCTTGAACGTGTCGGGGCGGTAGAATGTGATCTTGTTGCTATCCTCACCGTCTGGGCAGACGCCGCATATGATTGTGCCTTTGAAGTGTGTGAGGACATGGCGGTTCCGGTCATACTTGCGGGCGAATCCCTTTCTATAGTACTCGCAGTTGCGCATGGGGCACTTCTCCGGCCGCTCGGTGCTATGGGTCAGCAGGTGAGTCTTGAGGTCTTTGAAAGCCTTCCCACAGCCCTCGTAGGGGCACGTATACAGTGCCCTCGCCTTGGTTTCTGATCCGGACGGCGAAGACGTGGGAGTGTCGTTCTCCATGGTCCACGCAAGACATGCCCCGGGTCTGGAGATCCTCTGGGAACTGAGGGAGTGAGATGTGGTGATGAGGCCTGGATCCCAGCCATCACCTTGAAGATGTCAACACGCGTTGGGGCACTTGGCTATGATATCTGGGCATCTTGGACTGCAGAGGGCGGCCATCAAGCGCGCCTCACTGTCTCAGCTCCTCCATCCTTGCCACGAGACTACGCCACATAGACCTGGCCACTCAGAGGAAAGCCACTGGAACCTGGCGCCTTGCCCGTCCAATCACGCCCGTGAACAGTCGAGCTGATCCCCCCTGTCCAGCTGTGCTCGGTGGGGCCTGTCAGGGAAGGCTTTCGGGATCAGCGGCCAGCCCCCTCGATACAGACTAGGGAGGGGCTCGGTGACATTGACCGTATATCTGACGCTAAAGATCGCGGGACCTGTCAAAATTTCGAATTACTAAATTTGTAACTCGTGTTCTTTTTTTGTACGGTATATAAAGGCATCTCCGATGACACCTGGCTCTTGTGGAGGGGCAGTGGCGCGTATGGTTTTCATTCAAGTGGCTTTATGTAACCTCCCATCAAGACCAGCCTGCTCGCCCTTTTTTTTTCTTTTTCCTGTGTTTGATTTCTTCAAGGTAGATCCCCAGAATGGATGTAACCTGCTAATTTCTCTGTCACCTCCCCCGCAGCTAGAGATCACGCTGGCTTTCCTGCCCTTCCATTGTGAGCTGGGAGGTTTCCAGAGGAGCGTCGCCTGTGGCGGGAAGATTTTGATCAATCCGCAAGTCTGTTGATCATTGATATTAGTATCTTCTATTGCTCTCGGAGCTGATACTTGAACCAAAGATCTGGTCCCTTAATTCAAGTTCGGCTAGCATCTGTATCTTACACTAAAGCCACGATCTGTTTGAGTAAGCCTTGTTGCTTCCGAAGACCTCAAAAGCTCCCCAGTCTTGGTATTCATCTTCTCGAGATGAGAATTTCAAGGTAGGACATGTAGAATTGATTATCTTCCCATCAATGAGGATGGGGTCTGCGACGAACGAAGCGTGCAAGGACTTCGGTACCTACGACGGTGGACTGATGATCTTGGCCACGGAGTACGATAAGTAGAGGCTTGCAATGAACGAGGTGCTTGTGATATGAAGAATCTGGTAATTCGGCTCGATCGGTATTTTGACAAGTGCGGGCGTGGATCGATCAGGTCGGGGAGCTCAGCTTCGTAAAACAGAATAATGGAATCGTCACAGTTAAATAGGAGAGTTAGGCAGGGAGCAGACTCATATTAGTAAATGTGCATTTCGTTCGCTCTCAGCCCTGTTGGTGGCCCTGGATCGTTCGCTGGTTTACCTACGTAAACTTGGGTAAACTTAGGTCAAGTGGTGTGAATGTTGAGCTTACATGAATTGTATTGCTGTTTGCTAACACTTGAGTTGAGCGCTACTCTACCATGTAACATTTCACACGTATAAATACAAGACCCGTTAGATTGAAGGGTCGTTAAAGTCACTCTAAGAGCTCATGAAAAATTTGGAGCGAACTAAGAAGTCTGGCATTCGCTTCCACAAGTGAAACAAAGCTGTACTCTTAGTAATATTCGTTGAGTAATGATGAGTTTCATATTGTTGCTCTTTATTTCCTCTCGAACCATATGAAAGAAGTGCAATCCGGAATGACAAAGGACGAGAAGTCACTCGTGGTGGGCTAATTCTTTGTTCTCTGCAGACAACAAAGGGCAACCGCCATGCTCCTTCATCTAAGAGCATCTCAAAATAGACCAACAAATACTACCAACATGTCTGTCTATCGCGGCAGTCCCCCAATTTACCCCCCTTCCAGGTCATAGAGTGAGCCGTCAAGTCAGATGACTAATGAAGAAGAAGCCTGATTCAATTGTGAAAGCAAATCGCCCCGGTGACGCTTAAGAAAATCAAATGCAGTCCAGCCATTTGAAAGTTGGAGGCTCAAGTCGATATCGGGGTGTTCGAGTAACAATTGTGGGAGCCTTCTGAAGCAGGGGGCCAAAGCGATATGCAATGCTGTCCAACCAAACTTGGCAACGACGTTGATATCAATGGCGGGATGTCTGATGAGCATCTTTGCAATCTTAACATTCCCAATGTTCGCAGCGACATGAAGTGGTGCCAAACCATCTTTATCTTGAACGTTGATGATATCCCAGATTCTGGGTGTGTGATCAAGAATTTTCTCTACCATTCTCTTGTTGCTGTTCTGTACGGCGTACCAGAGGCATGTCCTGCCGAAATAGTCAGTAACGTATGGGTTCGTCCTCGGATCGTCGTAAAGCAACTCAAATGCGTCAAAGAAATTTTTTTCAGCTGCGATTAGGAGCGGTGCTTTGCACCCCGCGTTGTCATCCCAGTCGATTTCGCTTAAGAAGCGTCTCTTTGTTGATAACAGGGAGTCCTCCAACGGCTCTGACATGAGATGTATCAACACCAGCGAACCGCGGCCAGGTGAATCCAGATTAAGGTCAATCCCTGGGTAGTTCACCAGGGCCTTAATGGTGGCGATGTCTCCGCTAGCCACAATATCTATCAGAGCCGTCGTCCCACTGGACCAACGTGCATTTATATCCACGTCCTTTCGAGTGAGCAGGAGCCTGACTTTGTCAAGTGGACGGAGGCTGACCGGACTAAATCTACGGAACCCGGTTAACTCCAGCAATTCAACCGCATGATGTTTCGGAGTACAGCTTGTGTCTGCTTCTTTGTGTTGTAAAACTTCTTGAGAAAGAGAAGCTATCATCCTCCCGGTAGCGTCCTCTAAAACTCTCTCGAATTCATGTCCATGGTCTTTTCGAAACTGCGCGCTTTGCCCAAGACGTTGTACAGCCAACAAGCGGTTCTGAAAACTGTTAGGCCAGAACATGAGCTCGGCGCAGCGAGGGTCATATGTATCAAGCGTCTTGTGGATGAGGAGATCAACTATACTCAGATTTACTTGACGTAGAGCCATCACGGCAGGGAGCTGGTTGTTGGCTCCTCGCATGACATCAACGTCTAGATTCACCAAAAGCCGGGCAATCTCTAGCGAGTCTCCCTTGACAGCCCACGCGAGAGGTGTAAGTTGGTGTTGGCTATCTGGCTGGTTTGGTTTGATACCAGGGACTTCAAGTAGCATTTGAACGAGCTTTGGGAAGCCTTGTTGGATTGCTAAAGTGAGCGGCGTGTGGCCGTCGGCAATTTCTTGATTTATATCGATTTCTTCCCCAAACCGGTCCAAGAAGAGCTCTAAAACTCTGATAGCACAATGATCAAAGGCTACCCTTAGCGGGCAGGACTTTGCTGATCCAACAATTACACTTGTCCTGGCCATGAGAAGTTGCGCGATATCGTGGTAGTCCTTTTTTGCTGCTTCTGCTAGGGGTGTTTCACCCTCATGATTCCCAATGTCGGCATTGGCATTACCTTCCTGGAGCAAGAGTTGAACAATATCCGTCCACTCTCTGCGGGCGGCCCAACCCAGCGTGGTGAGACCAAAGCTGCCCCGAGCATTTATCTGTGCACCAGTCGAAACGCGTAAGATGAGACGTACTGCGCCCTTTCGGTCCGTTTCGGCAGCGTAGACCAGGGCGTTGCTCTCTTTGCCATCGACAATAGCATCTAGGTCAACATGCTTCAGCAAGGCCTCCAATCCCACAGCGTCTTCCAAATCAAGGGCAGTACGCATGGGATGTCCAAATAGTGGATGGGAAGAAATTGACTCTGCTGTGTTGAGGGAAGCACTGCCATTGATAACAGAATCAATCTTTGTCGCAACGTCGCTGCCACTGGCTAGCAGAAGTTGCAATACGCCATAGAACGCTTCTGAACTCTGAGATCTGGTGTGCGAGCTCGCATTGCCTTGCATGCAGGCGTAGGTTTCCAGATACGATATGTGCGGCGGGAGGCTCTTGCCTGGCTGCCAAGTGAGGAGGTGTTCGACAACCCAGGAGGGTTCATGAATCGCAAGGATGGCCCGGCTGGCTGCAGCGATGATTTTGTCTACATCAAGCTCCGGCGCCACTCCGCTGTCGTGTAGATACACAACAGCGTCACGTAGGAAAGCAAATGGGCCCTGGGCATCCAGAAAATGAACTTTAGCCTTTGTAGCTAGCATCCATTCAAAACCTCGCCGCCAATGAGTCTCGCGTCCCCTATCCAGCTGCCGCCGGGTGAAACGCTTGGAGGTAAAGCGCTCCAGCTCCCACTGGGAGATATCCTGGAAGGTAATATGGGATACGAGGCTATTCAATTGCCCTATAATACATCAGCTTTCTATGCCGAGCATCATTACCAGAGCCTGATGAGATTTGGGGCAATGAACGCACAGCATACAACTCGCAATTTCATGAATTCGCACCTGTTACTCTTCCAGTGGACGAGCCACAGGATGTGGTCCAGGACTTCGTTGGGGATGTTTTTGATCGACATGGCGCTTGTTGGCTATTATTCAGTTCCGCGTCTTGTATCAGTGTCTGTTCAGCTGGATAGTGAAATACGACTCTGAATTCAGACGCGTCGAATTGTAACAAAACTGAAATCACCCAGGGGGAAAATTCTCGTCAACATCTGTAATTAGTAAAGGGGTGAGGACTGGCACACCTAATTATAGATAATCAACTCCTCCTGTCATGATAATAATTTATCTCTCCCCCTGTCATCGTAATTTCTTTCTAGCTCCCCGCCGGAAAGACGTCAATGGCTTCGCCCTGCCCCACTAATAAGAAGGAATATGTTATTGAGGCTGTCTTCTCAGCAGCAGGTCATCAATTAGAGCAGTATGGTCAGGTCTGTAGCAAGAGGCTGTCTCGCGGCCTAGTGCATCTCTATAATCATGATTGCCTCGGGCGGATTACCTTGGATTGAGGTGAGATTTGCCATTAATCAGCGGGTAATAAGCCCCTGTTAGCCTTATGAGCGGTAACCCTACTGCTCTTGTAGGGAGAGAAATCGGTTATCTAGATAACTTCTAGGCAAGTGTAAGAATCGTTTCGTATGAATGAGACTGTATCACCTACGGATAGCTTATAGATATTAGAGATTGTAAACAAAGCCTCATTGAAAAGAGAGATACGTGACCTGTTTAGTCATGTTTCTGCCTGGGTTCCGAGAAGCAAGATAGGCAGGGGTCAACAATACAATCTATATGTCTAGAATGCAAACACATTGTCCTTTCGATGGAAAGGTGAAATGCCTGAAGGGATTCAGTGATTGGGAAATTAAGGATAGCAGATTAACATGATCTGCTAAATATTCAAGGGGGATGTAGTCGTAGACGCCAAGTGGGAATTTCTAATTCAAATTTAAGCTGAAGAACTCAACGGCTATACCGCACCAAATCGATGCACGCCTAATGCTAGCGATATGAAATAGCTCACGATGGCCAAGCAGAATATTTTTGGCCATTAGACAGTTCGGGTGGCATGGATGGGAGGCGCAGAATGCGAGTCTCAGATGAGAAGCCGCGGCCGTCTTTCCCGCGGTCACCGCAGCAGCTAATCTTGCCAACGCGTAGAGGAGAAGTGTTATTACGTCGTTGTCTTCGAATTCTTCTTTTATTCCGGGGAGCGTGGATGATCGGTACGCACAAAGCTTCGACCATATTTTATAAAGGGTATCTACCGCCCAGATCTTAGAAAAAGGGGGTACACTTCACACCCACCATATTCTCGTAACTACCCACCACTTGTGGCATGATATGTGACGTAAATCCGATACCGCAACTGACTTGCAACACCTGCCAAGGTCAGTCTCACATAGACAGCTAATTCATACACACACGAACTGGCTGTCTTGTAGTAAGTGAGGGAGCTGTACAGCTGCTGAAAAGAAAAAAAGGGGAAATTCCCAAACACCAGTAATTTGATAACTTGATACCATACCCAGGCATCACAACACAATAAACTTCAGCCTTATGCCCGGCTACGAGCCTTGTGCCCGGCCGTATCTAAGGTTTAACACCAAAATAGCTGTACTCGTATCGTACATAAGGTTTATTAATACCAAAGGCTGTATCCGGCAGCGACTCTTTCGCCGGCATGACTCCTTTTGCGAACCTTAAGATGCGAACCTTAAGATGCGAACAGGCCGTCTTAAGTCACAGCTGATTCATAGGGGTCAATTAGACAAGCGGGCTCTATTTACACCAACAGGCTGTCGTAGGCAACAGCTAGCTAGCAGGTCAGGATCGACGGCCATATCAAGGGTCAAGCAAGAAGCCGTCCTTGGCAGCTGCTTAACATAGCCTGATAGGTTGAAATCTAATGGGTCTTGGTCCCGTAAGTGTGGTATCAGTCTTATGCTATATTTCAAGCCGCAGGTGGTGGGTGTGAAGTGTACCCCTAGAAAAAGAGGCAAAAACGTCTAGTCAACAACGTTCTGTGTATTGCCTTGTGACCTTGAAGGAGCAATTGTGATCCTAGCAAAGAGCAATAGGGCTTTTCGTAATCAGAGAGAAAATGGAAGATATTTCAAGAAAGGAGAACATGAGCTACAAGTACAAGTAAGTAAGTTATTGTCAATACTCAATTCATACATGTTATTTAGCATAGTGTCATGGTGTCAAGTAATCGTCTGAAATTGGCCTTAGTGGATGAATTAGACTAACTACCTAGATAAGAAGCAAGCTGGGTTTTACAATCTGGTAAATGAGAGTGAAAAACAAACGTTGACCTCCGATAACGCGTCAAATCTTGCGAAAATGCACTAATCCACATGTCTGTCCCTGGTGATATCTCCGTTTCTCGCCAATGCCCATCTCTACGTGGTGAGGGACAAGGCAGCTCTCAATGGGGATACCTACTTGATCAAAATGAAATTGGTATCGGGAAAAAGATAAGATTGCCCAACATGTCTCCAATCTGTTACAGTAGGCGACAGTGGCCGGGTTGTGACAGGACCCATCCGTTCAAGTTAATCCATTGGATAGCGTTCTTCCGCCAAGATCCCGTGCTCGAAGGCCCCCATTGCAGGCGTACAAGTAAAGTCTTCAGCATCGCCATACCCATCTTTGGGAATAATCGGCTCGTCATCGTGATCGTATCCAATAGTCGGAAAAATTGTCCACTGGCATCCCCAAGTAACAAAGTCCACGCGTTGGCGGTCAAGTACCGTCTGTTCGATGTCCCACGGATCACCAGGGTGAAAATTGCTCGTAATCAGAAGGTCATCTTTGTGGTTCAAAAGTTCCATGGCCCGAGGAAAATCCTCGAGGACGTAACAGGGATGATGGATACGTCGAAGAAAACTTAGAGTCTTGCCGAAATAGCCACGGGCGGAGGCTTCATCAAAGGCGGCCTGCAGGGCCGCGGGTCGCTGCATGAATGCCTGGAATATTTCACTGGCCCGGTCGGGAGCCGGCTCACCGTCAATGATGAGCGAGAAAGAGCCAGGAGGCATGCCGGCCGAGGGCAGGGCCAGAGCCTCCACCAGCCATGCGGAGAGGACGCCGGGGACCGATTGGTGGAAAAGTTGGCGTTGGTGTCGACCGTGAGATTGCAGCAGATTTCCAAACAGACTGACTTTCCGCTCCACCTTGAGGGAGAGGTTTTCCACGCAGAAAGGTATCAACCCGCGACCATGACCTGCCGCTTTGTGGACGGATGGTTGGTCCTCCAGAAGCCTGAGTTTCCTGAGTCGAATCCGCACATTCCTCGGCATATGTTTGAGGAAGTTAATCGCAGCCGCCGCTGCCGAGTAGCGGAATTTAAGATCGCGATTCTTATTCCTATTGTTGTGGTACCTGCTAGTGAACTCGAGATTGGGAAGGTGACCCCGGAATTCAGAGACGCCAGCCAACTTGTGTGCGAGCTTGTTGGCCAAGCGCTTTGAAGGCATAGCCCATTCCTGGTGGTCTAGGAGGAGGACTTTGAAAGGATCAGAAGGTCGATATCCATGGGGGAAACCATGGTAATCCCACGCATCATATATAACGTCGGCCACCCGCGAATGGCCGTGGACCCTCAGAGCGGTACGGAGGAGCAGCTGTGATGCATCTTCAGCTACAGATGGCACCGCGCCTGATTCAAAAACATGCAGAGGATTGGGTCGATTCATCAATGTAGGACGAGCGATCATTTGGTCCATGATGCGTGTAAATCCCGGGTACCTTTGAGCCACCGTCTCGTAGACCTCTGGGTTTAGTAATCTCCCGAAGTGCTCAAATGCCAGTCTAGAAATTATGGCTCTATCATACATCAGGTAGTGGATGCACCATGACGCAAGCTTCACTCTTTCGGGGCAGCCGGTAGAGAAGTTGACGGTATTCAGGGAAAGAGGGAAATGGCGTGTTTCCTGGGCAATGAGTCTCGACGTGGATAGGAGGGCCAGGTCAATGGGAGTGCCATCTGCAAGCGTCAGCCGTCCCGTGTCGTGGTTGTAATGGTAGCCGCCCTCTTGGGTGAAGTACTCTTTGTAGATTTGGACCCGTATCTCCGGGGGCAGGTTGTGGAAGGACATTGCTGGCTGCTTGGGGATGCAGAGAAGGACTGGGTGCGGGTGACGATGATGGCGACGATGAGGGTGACGATGATGGTGACGATCAATCGAAGAGAGGTGGGGTTGGGAGAGAGAGAGAAATGGCAGGGAGAGCGGGAGAGCGCTGGAATTAAATACTGCCAGGGGGGATTAGACTTTTTTCTGGCCGCTTGATTCGCTTCTTGATTGGTCCGTCCGCTTTCGGGCACTGTTGCCTGGGCTAGGTAGAGCTTGAGGCGACGAGAACCCAAAAATCGACGCCCCTGTCTCGTAAATCGACGCCGCTGAGTCTGTTTTGGGCTCTAGTATCTGCAACTGAAATATACAAGCCACCTCGAGATATATCGGAAGACGCGTTATTCGGGGCTACAGCAATGACTCGTCGCCGCAGCAGACAGCAAGGTCAGGCTCGCAGCAATCGCTTGTCTTGATAAAAAACAGGAAGGTCAGGTCTGCAGCGATCGCTTTCTGCAGCAGCGGACAGAGAGGCCGGGCTTGCAGTAACCGCTTGTCGCGTCGGAAGACGTATTGGTCAGGGCTGTAGCAATCCCTCGTCTTGACGGCAGACAGGCCGGCCGGGTCTGCAGCAATTGCTCGTCGTGATAGAAGACTGCTAGGCTGGACTTACAGCGCCTGCCCATCTTAACAGCGGACCGCTAGCCCGGGTCTATAGCGCCTGCCGCCCATCGCTATAGCGGATAGCCCGGCTATACCCGTAGCGATCGCTCGTTTTGACAGCAGACAGCGCCGTTATCTCTGCGGCGATCGCCTGTCTTGACGGAAGACAGCTTGGTTAAGCTCGTAGCAGCCGCTCGTCGCACCATAAGATAGAGAGGTCGGGCTCGTAGCAATCGCCCGTCTTGATAACGGACTGCTAGCCCTTGAGGCCCGAGTTACAACGTCTGCCCGTCTTAACAGCGGACCGCTGGCCCGGGTCTCCAGCGACTGCCAGATCAAGCCCGCAGCTGGAGGTCCGCAGCAATGGCTCGTCTTGACGAGAGACAACCTGATCAGCTTCAAAACGATCTCTCGTCGTCACGAGAGACACGCTGGTCGCCTTCACAGCTATTGCGTCATGAATAAAGACAGAAGAGTCAGCTAGCTAGGTGGGCTGCAGTGATTGATATCGATGTTCAAATGGCCTTAAAATCACAATGGTATCATCGGTCGCTCTCAATCGTGGACATTCTGAGAAGTCCCAACATAAAACAGTGCAACCAGGGTCGTGGCAATCTCTCGTCCTGAACATAGACAGCAAGGTCAGGCCCGTGGCGATTACCCATCAGGACACGGGACAATGAGGTCACGGCCATCGTAATTTCTTGTCTTGAAGATTGACAGACTGTTCGGCGCTCTCCAAGTTGAGTGTCATTGTGATGACAGCCAGTACAGCCGACAATGCGAGATCGGATCTAGAACACTTGCCAGTTTGCATGACACCCACGAGTTCTTCTTCAACCTGGACACATTGCCACTCTCGACATTAGCTTCCGTACCACACATACCTAGATCACGATGCAGAGGGACAAGGAGGTTGCGGGGCAGCGCATTTATTATTTTTTTGGAGTTATTGCCGTATGCAAGGGAGATATCCCGAGATCAGGCCACACGTGACGAGATCCACACGACTTGTTTTTTTACTTATTTGCGGTCCGTACCCAACCTTTAACTCTATTCCTTATGCTTTGCTTCTTACACAAGCCACAGCAAGGCAACAGCTTCATCAAAAAACTCTAACAAGGCCTTGCCAAGTATATAACTTGGCCATGGGCCCCAAGGGGGGGACGCTAGTACTTTCGTGTTAGATAAGGCGTAAAGCTTCGCAAAGTACAGGGGAAATACCTCATCAACCACAATCAACCACAAGACTCCAAGCAAGCAAGCACGCGAGCACGCGAGCGAGCAAACAAACAAACAAGCTAGAACTTTCATGTCAGCCATCATGTAAAACAAATCTCATTTGCAGTTTGTAAGAGACATACCTCATTATCGCCAATCGCCAACCAACCACAGCCAACCAACCAAACAAACAACCACGCGACGTCTCCTTGCGACGACTACTTGTGTCAGACAGGATGTCAACAGTACACTTCATAGGTTATGGGTAAATACCGATAATGGCCTTTTCCGATACGATCATCTCAAGCAGCCAAGGCCCGGTTGCAGCGAGGGACCACGTCCTCGCGCATATGACGAAGATGATCAATAACGACCCGCAGGTCGCATATAATAAATACATCCAATATTGGAGTCTGCGCTCGGTGACAGGACTCCTCGCGGCATCAAAGCCGCTTACAGGTATACAAGCTCAGCCTGGATCAAAATGTTAGTGAGCTATATCACCGGCTAGCTCGCACCATATCTTACAGTTGCAGCTGCTTGGCTCGACACTCTACTGCGAAGCCTGCAGAGAGTTATCAGTACCTCGTGCCCTGTACCGAGCACTGGCGGACGACGAAGAGGGGCGTAACGGGCCACGCCTCGACGACCAAGTGCTCGACGATTATAACGACCAGCAATACAGTCTCTGGTTCCAGCACATCATGTGTTGTGTGGAACTCATCCGAGCGGAGGCTGCCGCGGCTGCAGAGAGGAAAGAGTTAGACATGTAAATAAAATTAGCAGTTGCATTTGAACAACACTTACTCTAAAGTGTTAGTTCAAGTTAATTTCTGATTGTGTTCGGGCTTGTTGCTAAGATTAGCCTTCGTGCGACAAACAAAACCGAGACAGGAGCATTTACCGGAACGGGATTGACTCGATCGGAATCGAGTCGAATGTCGGATGGCGGAAGTTTATCGGAGGGAGAAGTCAAATTGAGAAAAGTTAATCTGACTGGGATTAGTCCTACATGTCGCTCATGGAAGCCAAGAGAGAACATACCTGCTGGCGTCAGTTTCGCGACATGTTAGTAGTCACCAGAGTTTATGAATGAAAACGTGATAGCCAACTAGATGGTAGTTAGTAAGACGACCTGGAGGTATGGGTGGGTTCGAATGGTGCTGCGTCGGCCCAACTACTTACTCACAAGTTGCCACATGCTGATTGAATGACATGACATGGTTCCACACGATGAGATTTGACACCAGCCACCAACGGATTTCAAGGCTTAATAGCACCCACAAGACAGGCTCATGGTGGCGGTGTCATGGCTTAGGAGACCATCAACTCTTCTCTCGGCCAGGCAAATTGATCCAGGCCGAAGTTGAGGATGGCCCATCGCGACGCCGCTTTGGCATCGGATGTCAAAAGTTTGGGGAGCCTGAACTCCTTGACCTCGGCGACCAACTCACGCCGCTTCATGGTCAATCGAGGGCAACGCATGAACAAATGTTCGATTGTATGCGGGCCCTTCTTGCACGGACAGATATCCGAGGCGGAGTACTGTTGTAGGGTTCATGTCAGCGGGGTTTGGTTTGGTCAAAGGGGCGTGCACGTACCGTTTTCTCCTTCGAATTCATCTTGTTAAGCCAACGGTTCAGGCCGATGGTTTCTGTCCGGCATTGCATCAACATGGTCGACTCAGCTCGGTCGAGATGTCGGTAATAGGAGAGGCTTTGAGGGCCCCAAGTTTCTAAGTAGGCCGCCGGAATTTTATTCCGGTTATTCGACTTCTCCCTCACATAGGCTGCCCATTCTCTAGCACACTTGTCCGCGCATCGGGCTGTGGTATGTGCTTTTATCAGCTTCACCACCGCCGGGATGCTACCGGAGTGTTTGGTTTGGGCCAACACTTCTTCACCATCCTTGTTTTGTTTGGTGAACTGCGTTTTGACCGTCAACAGCTCGCGCTTGGCTTCGCCGTATAGCACGATGAATGGGTTTTGAAGCTTTCGTTGATCTTTGCCCATGGGGTTACGGTTCCCCTGTTGGGCTTTCCCCAGCGCCTTTAAGTACGCTGATCCAACGTTCTTCATCCTATAGGTGAGGGCGATTCGGCCCAAGTAATGCTCCATGCTTTCGACATGGAGCTCTTTTCTCAACACCATCCGGTCCGTCATCTTATAAGCGCCGGCCACTTTGACAAGGGAGTCGTTCTGCATCACCTCGAGTTTGTTCAACCACTTCTGGGGCAGGCCGAGGTTGTGGCTGTGGTGCCGTGGTATGAACCACGCCGGCGAAGCGTACCCAACGATGGACCGGATTTTGGAAACGTGGAGCTGCCGCATGCGGATCAACGTTGGCCCCCACGTCGAGCCAGAGATTCTGGTATGATAGCCTAAAATCTTGGAAACCTTCGTCTTCAACTACATGCGGCGACGTGTCTGGTCAGCATTCCGTGCAAGAGAATTGAGGCTGCCGCCGTGACGGATATGTGACTTACTTCATTGATGTGTTTATCCCACCTAAGCTGTGCGTCATACAAGAGGCCGAGGATTCTCAGCTCTTGCTTGATGAGACGGCCCCTGATCAGGCCCGGGATTTTTGGCATGGGCTGCGTCTCCGGTTTCCTGGGCCTGCGTTGCTGGAAGTGCATTAACGCGTATTTGTCAGGGCCAAATTGCACTCCACGAGGGGTAGCCCATTCCATGAGGCGCTCATGCAGCTCTGTCAAGATGGCGCAGTTTAGTTCGAAAGAGGGCGTCGAGACGAGAAAATTGGTATCGTCGACGTAGGACATCACGGAGAAGACACACTTCGCCTCTCGGTTGCCCCTCCTCCGTCTCAGTTTCTTTCCCTGTCCGGTCTTGAGCTTGTAGTTGTCGAAGGTTTCCAGGATAGGGGCTGCGAACAAGATGAACAGGATCGGGGACAGGGGGCTGCCTTGGGGGATGCCAATGTTGATCCAGTACTTTTCCGGACGGTAACCCGGCATGAGCAACTCGGTGCTTCGTTCAGACAGAAAAGACCAAACGAACCTGACAATCCAGTCGGGGAAGCCCTTGTCCACCAGCCGCTGCAGAAGCTCTTCTCGGCGCACATGGTCATACGCCCCGGATATGTCCAGCGCCATGAGACTTGTATGATCAGCGTTTCCCCCAACGGGGCTTTGCCAACTCCGATGCACCCAGTTGGTGATGTACTCCAGCGCATGAGTCGTGCTCTTTCCCGGGCTCCCGAATTGGAGCAGAGGGCACAGGTGGGGATTGCTCATGAGCAGCTCTTTGATTCTGTTGGCAACGATTTTCTCCAACATTTTGCCAAGACAGGACAGAAGGGCCACTGGACGCCAACTTTTCGCCTTTTGGTAGGTCTCCTTGCCAACCTTGGGCAACACCACGGTGAGCGCGTGGCGAAAGGCTTTGGGGTGGTAATCCAAATTGAGGCAAGCTTGGAAAAGGTGAATCAAGTATGGCAGAATAACTGGCAGCGCGAGCTTGAACGCTTCATTGGCGATCTGGTCAGGGCCCTCGGCCTTCCGATTGGGTATTTGTTTGATCAGACGTGCAACTTCACCCGACCGCAACTCGTTTGATATCGCGAGTTTGGAAGGGTTGTCGGGTGGCAGCTGGGGCATCCTAAGCTCAGAGGGTGCCTGGTCGCCCTTGCTGATGTTAGGCCACATTGCTCCCATGAAGTGAACTGCCTTTTCATCGTTGGTTGTGTGCCGCACCCCTTCATCCGAAACAAGCGTGGGCATGTGCGGCATAGCCTTCGGCTGAGCCCATGCCTTGGAGAGCTTAGACCACTGAAAGATCTTTTGCCTACCTCGCACAACCCGCTCTGATTCTGTGGCGATGAACCGCCGCCATTCCGTTCTTCGCTGTCGACTGTCTCTCTTCTCTGACCGCCATTTGAAGAACCTTCTAAACCTCGGGTTGGGGCCAGCCTTCAGCTTTTCGAGCACAGCCTCCCGTGTGAGGACAAACTTGTCATTGCTTGCACTAGCCGGCTTCCTTCTGCGTGCCACCTGTTTTCGAATGGGGACTTCTTGCGCCATAGCCTTGGCCAAAGCGCCTGTTATCCGCACAAGATAGGCGTCGGCATCAGAGAACGAACCGAGGGGAGCGAATCCAATCTGCGACGTTGTCTCCTTCAGTGTGGGAAGAAAGGTTTTCCCCTTGACCTCGTTCCAGGAATACCGAGCCTTCACTTCCATATTCGGTGCCATCTCCATCCTCGTGAGCACCGGACGATGGTCACTGGCAAAAGCAGCCAGGTCATCAATAACTTGACAGCTCTTGAACAGGGAGTCAATGTTCCCGCCAACAAATGTTAGGTCGATGGTGGAGCAGTACTGGTCTGTGGAGGTTGACCGCGAGTACGTAGTTGCACCGCGTGGGGTCTTACAATTCATCAAATAGGCGTCTGCGAGGCTGTGCAGGTCTCTCGCCTGCTCTTCCACAACGCGAAGACCGTCGCCTCCCCATGTGGGATGGTGCAGGTTGAAATCGCCCAATAGAATATCTGACCTGCATATTTTGCAATAGCTGAAAAGATGGTCCATGTCCAGTTGCTTGTGCTGATTGTACACATTGTGGATGTTGACAGCCCCTGACGTAGTGTTGAGGAATAATGTCGCAACGAGACCTTTGGACTTCTCTGTGTGGTAGGTGACACCCCAATCTTCCAGCGGTATTGACTCATGCACGTAAAACGCTACTCGATCAAGCTGCCACTTGCTTCGCGGTTTGGGCTTGTCCTTGACAGCTATGGTCTTTGCTGCGTCGGGATTGTCGTCTTCGGTCAGAGCGCGGCTTGCATGGTAGTGCAAATGGTACCCAGGCATCGGCATGAATGGGAAGCCTTTCGGGACATCTTGGACGGCGATAATCTGCGGTGGCTGGTCGGATAGCTCTTCGGACAGAGCCCGTTTGAGGTCAAGAAGTCGTTTCATGGAGTCTTTCACGTTGAGCTGAAGGATGTCGAGTGTCCTGTTGCCCCGACGGACAGTCCTCCTGCGAATTTGCGCAACAGGATCTATAGGTGGGGGGACCTTCTCGGGAGAGTCAGATAGGGTCAATATGGCAGAGGGAACAGAAATATCACCTTGGAGCCCCTCCTTGTTGACGTTCGCGCCATTTTCACGAAATTGTGCTAATCGAAGGAAAGTTTAGCTGAACTCGGTCACTGATATCAAAACTTAAAAACAAGGTGCGGTAGCAGTACCAACATGACTTGCAATTCAAAGACCAGAGTGTGGCAGGGCGGCACTTTGCATGCATGTAAGGGAAGCCTCAGGACCACTAGATTTGGGTCCTGAAGCCTCCCCTACATGCAAGGTGCACAATACAAAGAGTGAACAGTAGACAAGAAAAGATAATAAATAAGTCGGAAAAGATAAATCACGATCGATCAAACAAAAGTTAACTGGTGCAATATGGATTCGTGTTGCACAAACTTGGTGGGTGTGGCAGAACTTTATACTTCGTGTGGCCAGTGACTTGTGAGCCGCTTCAACCATTATCTTAACATATTCCTCGTATTCGGACATCTGTGGAAAGATGCCAAGGTTGTTAGAGAGTTTTCAGTACAAACCCTAGCCTCACGACAACGGCCTCCGGTCTTGCTAGGACATCATTCCTGACCACTGGATCATTTCCGAAGCCTCCGATGCCCCTTGGCGACCCATGTTAGCGAACTCAGCCCATCGTCATATTAAAACGAAGGTTGGCGTAGCGATATTCATTCCAAATGTCACCGGCGATTATCGGAGCGCGGAAACCCTTGTCTCCGGCTTTTTATTCGTCGCAATGTGGTCACTGATGGGCTGATACGATGACCTGAATATCCTGAACGCTCCTAACGTTGCAGCAAGTATCTTGTCGTTGTCTGACTGTCCATCCTTCGCTTCAAATATCCCTGCGGTCTCACCCGCCGCAATTTGCAATCAACCCTGAATATGTCTTATCAGCGGTGCGTTGAGGCTAGGGTTGCCCTACCTTAGAGGTGTAAAGCTCGAAACATCTCGAACACGCTACGGCCCAATCTGTGTGCGGCCCGGGTGAGCTTTGCTGCCAGAAGTTGTTGACCGTCAAGTTCCGGTGTTCACTCGATGTTACCAGCAACACCCACTCCCTACTCTTGCATAAGTAGTCAAGAAGTGGCCGGTCAGAAGGCCAAGTGGCACTCTTCTCTTGTTACCTCATTTGTCGTGGAACTCGGTTTGTTTTTCTTTTTCTCTGGAATTTCTGCCCTACGCAAGCTCGATTTCGTTATGAGTAACCCGCAGAGCTTCTTGTCGGCTTTGATTGCGCAGAAGGCAAGTCGTTCATTCACTTTCCGTGTGGATCCTGGTAAACACATCGTCACAAACACACAAGTTCAGTCTACCGCCTTGTCGGAAGACAAGACAGATCCCCCAGAATGCATAGGGATCCTTCGGTACCTCGTCGGTTCGGTTAAGGATATAGCGAAGATAAAAGGCAAGTTGACTCCCACGCAGATTGTTTGGGTGTTGCACGACAAAGGCGAACACTGGAAGTGCGTCCGTGGTGCGCGATTAAAAGACAGCATCTTAGAGCTCTATTTGAATTCTGAGGAAGACGAGGACACAGCAAGGCAACATGGAGAGGAAATCGCAGAGTGCTTTGCCTTTGACTCACCAAAAAGTCGGCTCTTGGCGCCTGAATATCTTATTGAGGTGCTTCGTATGGACCCGGGGACCGTACCCTCCTTCAAGGATCTTCCAGACCAATTCACCTCGGAAAACCATAAAGTTGCCACGGATGCTTTTATAAAAAATGGGAGAGTTGTCATTGGCTTCGAATCGCGGGAGGTTGCCCGTGAAGTGAGCGAACGGAAACTCATCTTTCTACACCACGAAAGGTATTATGTCAAGTACGTAAAGTCACCCCAGCACGAATCAAAGTTCTGCACTGACGACCTTAACTCCACGATCAGGCCGTTTGATCGAAGAATGGTGCCATATTTTTGTTCTCATTGTTCAGCTCCAACGCATCGCAGCGAACAGGGATGCTCGCTTCATTGTGGGAAATGTGCTGAACCACACGCGACCAAAGATTGCGGAGTTGTGAGTGCCACGGGTCAACCCCACGGCCCGGGCTTTAAATGCGCGAACTGTTCGCAAGACCACGCGGTATGGTCAGGGAGGTGCAACAGTGTGGCCACTAAGAACATGAGGAAAACCTGCAAGTGGTGGACGGAGAGAAGCCTTTGGTGGACAGTGCGGAAACGGGATGGTGGTGAACAGGTTACACTGGAAATTGCGGCTGGTGAAGGAGCTGATAGCGGTGAAGGGGTTGACAGTGGTGAAGGAGTTGACGACGGTGAAGGAGGTGGCGGCGGTGAAGGAGGTAATACAGGTGAAGGAGTTGACGACGGCGAAGGAGGTAATGCAGGTGAAGGAGGTGACGGTGGCGAAGGAGGTCGTCCCTCCAAACAAGGTAGAGCCAAGAGAGGACGTCCAAGAGGATCCGGACGGGCTAGTCAAGGAAGGGCTGCTCGAAGACGTGACGGCGATGAAGGACGTGACGGCGGTGGCGGACGTGACGGCGGTGGAGGCTGTTGTAACTGCCAACAAGGTGGAGCCAAGAGAGGACGTCCAAGAGGATCCGGACGGGCTAGTCAAGGAAGGGCAGCTCGAGGAGGTGGAGGTCAAAGAAGTGGCGGTCAAACAGGTGGTGGCCAAAGAGGTGGTGGCCAAAGAGGTGGTGGCCAAAGAGGTGGTGGTCGAGGAGGGATTGTTCAAGGAGCCGCTGGTCGAGGAGGAGGTGGTCGAAGAGGAGGTGGTAGAGGAACAGGTGGTCGAGGAGAGGCTACTCGAGGAGGAGAACAACCGGGTCAGGAAAACAATGGCTCCCTCGATGCGTCGGATGACAGGATGGACATTGACAGGATTGACAAAGCTCCGACTCAGAAAACGATTTATGCGTGGTTTAAACCGGTGGACAAAGCTCCAAATCAAGTTCCCAGGAGCTCTTCGGATGAATCGGGTCCAGCTTAGTTGCAATAGCCCCGGGATTCATGTTCCCTTTAGAGCCGGCATAGCCAGATTCCTATGTTTGAAAAATGAAATGTTCGTTCTTTTTGTCACATTGCCTAGGATATGTCACCGCAAGATCACGCTGCACATGATATTGAATGACAGTGGATCTTCCCAACGCACGTTATGACCGGTGCCCAATCTTATACACGTTACAGTTTGAATTCTCTCCTCACATGTCATTATTTCATTTTCCTCATGCTCAGCGATGACCAGCCATGGTTTTCTATAGCCGCTCGAGAATCGAACTTGTGCGGGCGCAGGGGAGTGTCCTGAAAACACTGAATGTACCCTGCTATATATATCCCTCACATGGGATCAACAGTGAGGGGACGACAGGATTATTAACAAGGGGCACCTCTCCTGTGCACCGTTGATTGGCATCGCTCAACTCCAATCCTCGACACTCCCCATCGAGCTATACGACCGTGGAGCCGCGCTGCTCCCACATTACTTCCAACTGGCAAGCCCTAAAAAAGAATAAAATGGCGTCTCGAAGAAGTTCCAAGCTTCGGATCCGACAGGAAATTGAACCGGCTGATCCGGTGCCAGCTCGAGACCTCAGGGTTCATCCAACGGAACGCAAAGCTTCGGCATCCAAAGTAGACGCCTTGTTCCCACCGCCAAAGGCAAAGCAAACAAAACCTCCAGGTCCCAAGGCCCAGGCTGGCAGTAAGCCAAGGAATACCAGTGATTCGGCAGTGCAGCCTGTCCCCTCGGCCCTTCCACATGAAATAATCGACCTGATCCTGGACCAGGTACGCTTCCTCTTCGTCCGCAACACCTCGACAGACGAGCTCACATTCCATGCCATAGGTAACTGATCCATCTACCATGCGCAATATGGCTCGCACCTGCAAGAAATTCTACTCCGTCATGATGCCCCGCTTGCACCAACGTGTCGCTGTCAACGCCGGGTTTCACGCAGACATCCAGAAGCTTATCCAGTCCATTGAACCCTACCTCTCTAGATCCCAAATGAGGGCCTTGAGGAAGGAGAAGGGCGAATACAATTGCCGGCAAAAAAAGTTTTCCCCTTATGTTGCCGAGCACCAAGTGCCTCAGTGTGCCTCCTTTGTTCGACAATTGATCGTCGGCGATCGCGATCCCGACCGCAAGCACGAGCACATTATTCACGCTTACCTGAATGAGGCCCTCGAGAATATGCGGAATCTACAGATTGTAGAAAGTATGCCAATGACGAAGTGAGACACCTACTCACCCAAACCCTCCATTCAATGAACGCAAATTCTAATGTGATTTCTAGGTCGATTGCCCAGAACCTAGCGACAATGGAGCATCTACAGGCTCTGAGCATCGACTTGACTCACTTGAGCAGGCTCGATCACGGTGCCAGGCCCTTTCTCAGGAAAATAAAAAATCTGAAGCATCTCAGCGTGAAAGACAATTCCTCCTCCCTAGACATCTTCGGCGAGCCTGATCTCATCCCTCAAATAATCGTCAACTCAAGAGCCACACTCCGCAGCTTGATTTTTATCAAAGGATGTTCTGGCGGCATGCCTGCACCAACGACGCCCGCAACAGGCCATGAGTTCCCTAACCTCAAGTCTCTGTCCCTCGGAAGAACCGAATTCGATACCGACTTCTCCAAGTGGTTGCAACGTTCGATCGATTTCATGCGCCTGCGTGAGCTGTACCACGAATCCCTGGGCGATGATCAAGCCTCTTTCTTCGACCATCTTGCCACTCTGGCCGCTTCCAAGGCCTCTTCGGAAATAGCCCTCCGAACCTTCTTCGTGGATCTATCGATAAAATATACTCGCATGCCCCAGTTAAATCAATTGCGCATCGATGCTCAGATCCGCTTCCTCTCCTCGTTTGACACATTGACCTCCCTGGAGCTGTATGCCTACAACAAACCCTCGACGGAAATCCCAAGCGGCAACTCCGAGACCCTTCTAGATGCTATCCTGAAGCATAAAAGCCTCAAGACCTTGAAAATATCTTATGTCGATATTGATTGCTCGTTCGGCAACATTCTCTATATCTCTGCAGCAAATCTCACCATTATTCTAGACGGATTACCTCTGCTTGAAGAGATTCAATTTGCGCCAGAAACAGAGGAGCTTGTAGGTTAACCCTGAAGATGTACCGAGCGAAGAACTGATCGTTTGAGAAAGACGGCTAATTTTTGAGGCAGGCCGAAATCGGGCGCGCCCTCACTCGCGGTGCCAACTTGAAATCAATCACCTACTTCCCAGCTGGCTCACTGGAACTTCTTAAAGTAGAATCCTATTATGTGGAAGTTTTAAAGAGCATCCTATGGGCTTTCGTGTCCCACAGTGCAGATGCCAGCAACAGCAAGGCGGAATCCGTTTGGGAGGACCACACTAAGCTCCGCGAGATCTCGATAAACCTCAAGGCATGGCAGGTCAGCTCGCCTCTCGCTGGCCGGGCTCCCGAGGGCGCCGGGAAGCCAACAATATTCTTCACCAAGGAGCGCCGGGAAGTTATGTGTTATGATGTGTCTTACACAAAGGCGACCGATCTCAACCGTCTCTTTGATCCTACATACCGATGGGTTGAGAGAGTAGCGAGAGACATGAATTGAGGTCGTGCTGCTGATGGTTCAGTGCGTAAGGCTGGCGAGGAAAAGGGCATCTGTAGTCTATAAGAGGATCATCATCGCCAACCATGGCGCTATGCTATACCACTCCATTGAGGCTCTTCAACAACTTGAATGTAGTATGTAACCTCTGAAGCCTTTCTACAAAAGGTGAAGAGTAGTGAAGAAGAATACAAAAAACCTGACAGACAGCGCCGTGGGATTCAGTAACATACCATAACGTTTTAAAGACACATCTAAGTCAAATGATTCGTTTCCGGCATATAAGGAGATCGTCACATCCTACCTAGATTTGAGTAGATCGGCTCGGTTGGATTAATGATGCGGCCTCTTCTCATTCAGATAAATAAGATACAATATTTCGTTCAATTTTTTGGGTATTTGGTCACAAATCAGACTTGATACTGTTTGACTTAGATGAAATCAGACTTCTTCTTTAGCCCAACTCATGGTTCAGCAAAATAACTGGGTTCTAGACTTTCCCTACCCTACAAGCTGAACTCCCCCCAGATAACGATCTCGGTCACCAGGTATAATATTCGCTTCCTCATTCAGTATTTTATTTAGCTGACCAGCAGATGGCTATTCAGTTTGCCTGTAAATTTTCTCTGACAGTCCTTTTGAGTTCGAACCCCATCAATCTAAACTATTGTACCCTCTAGTCATTTATTTATCCCATTAATGAGCTGACAGTCCCCACTCTAGTCCGCTCCATCGCTTCATATCCCTATGGCAAACGACCATGAATCATTATTCAATGCATGTAGACCGCCACATTCTCAGCATCGAGAGCACAATAATAAGGTTTGTGGCATCATCCCCGGTGCCCAATCACACCCTGCCGTGTCATCGGGATGCGAGTCATCGAGCTTCCATGGCGTTTGTCGGTGGCCTTCGGGCTGGCTAACGGCTCTCGGACTAGGATCGACAACTGCTGAGCGAATCACGGTTGCTGGCCCGGGATCACAGCATAAGCGTGCTGACAACCCTCCCGGCGGCACTGGAGGATGGCGGGAGAGCATATATTGTCTTGGTGTTGTCGAATGGCGGCTCCAGACCAATCGGGACGTGAGAACAAAGACAATTCATGCAACGGCAAGGGAACTCGCATCAAGGGGGATTATCTATTCTGAGCCGTCCCGATGGCACCACCGCAAAGCAATAAACACAGCCGGTATATAATCAGTCACATGCCCCCCACTTGGAATTCCATCATCCCTCATCAATCCAACACCATCGCACATCGCCGGCATCGGCATCTGCAACCATGGCTCTCCAGGACCTACCTGCCGAGCTGCTTCACGCCGTCTCTGCCCACGTCTCGGACGAGGGAGACCTCAGCGCCCTGAGCCGGACCTGCGTGCGCCTGTTCCACACGCTGGTGGCCGAGCTGTACCGCCGCAACCATGCCGGGCCCAAGCCGTCGGCCCTGACCTGGGCCATCAACAGCGGCAACATGGGCACGATCCAGCGGGCGACCGGCTGCGGCGTCGACATTGTGAAGCTCCGCCACATCACCAGCGCGGCCAGCATGGGGGACAAGGATGTGTTCGACACCCTCTGGGCATGCAAGCTCCAGCACGGGGGCTTCGGCTCGCTGCTGGTCGACGAGGACAACAGGGAACCACTATATGCAGCTGTGAACGCGGGCAATAAGGAGATAGTCAGAGTCCTCGTGGAGACGGGCATGGTAGACAGCCAAGTCCAGGCGTCCAACCAGAACGTCCCTCTCTTCATTGCCGCCTTCAACGGGAGCCATGAGGTAGTCAGCTTGCTTCTGGACCACGGCGCCCCTCCCATGTCTCATTTCCACATGGTCCATCCCCTGGCTGCCGCCGTCAAGCCCCGGGGCGACTGGTGGGTGTCGAAGCAGTTCTGGGGCCGGAGGCTCAGGAAGAACCCCGATACTGTTGGCGACACCGTCCGCGTCCTGCTCGAGCGCGGCGTGGACGTCAATCGCTCCGGCTTCTACGATGGTGACAGTGCCATCCATATAGCTGCCCACGCCGGATACTGCGATGTGGTCGAGCAGCTTGTCGCCCACGGAGCATACATCGACTCACGAAACACCTTGACGGACAACACACCCCTTCACATTGCGACCCAGAGACTGGGGACGCTCGACATGGTGCGGACTCTTGTCAAGTTGGGAGCAAGCGTAAACGCAGTCAACCGGACCGGACAGACGCCCCTGGCCTTGACAAGAGACACCCGCGAGCCGAAAAGAATAGCCGAGTTCCTCCTTGACAACGGGGCCCAGATGACCATCGACTACGAGAACAACACGCCTCTCCACCGTCTGAGGAACATTGGCTCGCTCGAGCAGAGTGCGGACACCTCGGCGGGCTTGCTCGACGCGCTGCTCAAGCGAGGGGCCGACATCAACGCCCAGAACAAGCAGGGCAAGACTCCCCTCCACTGCGTCGCCGAGACGGCCGGAAACTCCCACCTCATCAGGATCCTGGTCAACCGGGGTGCCTCCCTCAGCATCAGAGACGGCAGCGGCGTCACGCCCCTCGGGTACGCGGCCGCGCACTGCCCCCAGCAGATCATCGAGTTCCTGATCGAGAAGGGCTCCGACCCCAACTCGAGGACAAAGGACGGCCTGCCGCTGCTCCAGCTCGCCGTCGGGCGCGAGTCGGCCACGCTCATCGACCTCCTCCTCCGGTGCGGCGCCGACGTCAGGGCCCCCAACCGCCACGGACGCGGCGCTCTGCACTACGCGGCGCTCATCGGCAAGATCGAGATGATTGACGTCTTCCTCCGGCACGGGGTGTCCATCGACGCGCACGACGCGCACGGCCTCACGCCGCTCATGTGCGCCATCGAGGGCGTCACGAGCACAAACTTCGACTTCCTCCTAGACAAGGGGGCCAACGTGCACAAGAGGGACAACACGATGCAGACGGCGCTGCACAAGGCGGCCAAGCACGGCAAGGTCAAGGCCGCCACGGCCCTGCTCAAGCTGGGGGCCGATATCAACGCCGTCGACGACGATAATCAGACTCCGCTATACATGGCCTCTGTCTATATGCGGCCGAAGATGGTGGAGGTTCTATGTAAGCATGGCGCTGACCCTACCATTACCGATTGCAGAGGGAGGACGGCCATGGCGGTTGCCAACAGCGAAATTTTCAGTCTTTTCGACCAACTCGAGAACAATAATACTGGTGGGACTTAAGGGAGGGGGCTGAAGTTTACGTTGAGGTTGAGGTTCAGGATGAGAAATACTCCTGTGGATGAATTCTAAATGTGTCACTATCAGCATGCCCAAGATCGAATAATGTTGTTTCTAAATAATTCTCTTTCAGTCATAATCATTAATATCTTTCCGTCACCCAACACCCAAACCCCCGCTAAAGTCTATCGTGAATAATGATAATATACAACATATGAGAACACGCTCGCTTCGCCAACACAAAATCCTTCCAGCCAACCAAGCCGATCAAACCTACCAAGTTTTGTTCATATTAATACATTAACCCCATAACAACATCTTGTCTACCTTCCCATCGACTGTGCTCATACTCATTCATCTTGACGCGGTGATACTCCTTCACCTCCCCCAAGTACCCCTTGTGCCCTAGGCGAAGGCAAGCTTGAAGTTCAGCCTCTGTCCGGATAGAGCAGTGGCAGGCATTCGGCGTCCCTCCAAACCTGGCCCGCTCCCCGGGGCTGGGAAACATGATGCTCAGACGCTTCATGTTGTGCCAGGCGTTGCCGCTCTTCTTCGACGCCGGGTTGTTGACAGCCAGCCGCGCCAGGTTCCAGTCCGCGTCTGTGTCGCCGTTCGGTGAGCCCATCCCTTGTTGGGGGGCAGCGGCCTCGTACCGGTACGCCTCGAGGCTCAGAGCGCTCCTGCGCTCCACCGCCGCGATCGGGCACGAGAACCCGTCGTTTCCCGCCTGTCGGCAGTTGCATCTCTCCGGGTTGATCAAGGTCTCGCTGTCGACGTTGATGGTGACGATTGCCTTCTTCCGGGTTGATTCGCTGTGAGTGAAGAGCACCAGCATGGGTTTCGGGGGGCACTGGTGGAGGGTCCCGGTCGACCAGGGCCCCGTGGCGATTGTAGTGGTATGCTCGCTGCTCGATGATCCGTTGCTCGTTGTTGCGAGGGACACGGCGCTCGATATACTGGCCGATCGGTCTGTTGGAGGTCTAACGTGTTGCATACCAAAATGGCTGGGGAGACTATTGCGGAAAGGAGAGGTGGGATGACTATTATATGTTGTGGTGTGGCTATTATGTGTTGATGTCGTGTTCTGACGATCTTGAGTTCTCGTGCGTCCGGGCGATCTGTCCAAAGGATCTGGAGGAGAGCTCGCGAACCCCCAGGGACTTGACATGACTGATCCGTGTCTTGAGGCACTCGTCTGGGAATTGGCCGGGTTGGGCGAGTAGATGGAAGACATGGCGTCGGGACTGCTGGATAAGGGGGCAGATCCGAACATTCTGCTGGTCCGAGGACTACTGGAGGGGATTGGGATAGCCCCGGAGGGTGACGACATGGCTGTTGGGGACCTGGAAGGGCCTGGGTCCGAATGTGTGTCACTTGCCGTGATGAGCGACGTGTCAAGAGCCTCGGGGACCCAGAGCTGCAGACAAGCTCGCTCGACGATAGACTGCCTCGTGCCAGCAATGACAAAGCTCACCATAACGTTGTTTTGCGTCCAGTGATCCCAGACCTTGAAACCCGTGACAGCCCTTTGGAATTGAAGGACATCCTTCATCCGGTTGAAGGACAGCTTGGCGATCCGCTCGTCAGTCTTGAGCAAAAGTTCCGGAACAAGAATGTTGTTTCGAAGCATGGCGTAAAGGGGGTTGATTAAGGTGTTGGAAATCTCAAAGTCGATTGTCTCTTCTGCTCAACAACATCAGTACCATGAACGTCAAAGGGGCCTTCACTGATCTTCACTTACTCTCTTGCCGAGCTCTCTCTCCGTTCGTTTCTTGCTCTCCGCTCACCTCAGCCCTGAATCGCTTGCCGTTAGAGCCCATCCGGCGGTTGAGGATTACCTGCCGTCTAGCAGATTGCGTTCCTTGTAAAGGTCTATTTAACGTTAGTATAACAAGTTAGAGCAGGGAAGCTTTCGGGCTGACACGTACAATTTCAGCATCCTTTCCATCATCTCGTCCGGCGTGATGATGTCGAGCAGATTTGCCACTGGCTTCGGCGGCCAGATTGACAGCATTGCTCTCGGCAGCTGTGGGGGAATGGGAGGCGGAACAAGCTCTTGCTGGTCGAACCGACTGCATTGCTGCGATAGATCCTACAGAAGGGGTCAGCAGCCATCTTTCGTTAGTCTACCGGATCAAACGCACCTCTTGAAGCTTGTTGATGTACCCCGGCCAGTGAGACTCGGGCGAAAAGGCCTGGCTTGACGAGCAGATCTCAATCTTCTCGAAAAGCCACACACACTTGAGCAGATTTATATAATGATCAACGGGCGGTCGGCGGTCCGTGACGAGCATCCCTCCCCTGAAAGTCACTGTAGATCGATTGTAGTTGAGAATAAATGCGTCGGATAGTTCTTGTATGCCGAATGAAGCCTCTGAGCCGTCATCCAGACTTTCGGTCGCGGTGATGAGGCGGAACTGCTCGGCAAGCTGGTCGGGTACTTGGAGGAGCCGCACCTCCCTCGTGTCCCGCTGGCTGAGCTCGGTGTCGAGGTCTGGTACGAGTACGCCCATCAGTTGATGGACTTGGGTGCGGAGGGCGAAGATCTGGTTCGTGATGTCGCGGTGGATGGCGTGGAGGTCATCTCGAATTCGGGAAAGGAGATCACTGTCATTGATCACGCGGTCAGTCAAGCTGTGCCTGGGAATAGCGGAACAGCGCCGGGGCATTTTCCCACTTACATCTCAAATGGCTTAAGCACGAGCTGGATCTTGGAGTTGTGCATCAAGATGCGTTGGCGCAAGCGATCTGCCACGGGCTGGACCAAGATATTCCACTCGATGTTGCGAAGCGGATTTCTCGCCCCCTCGTACCGCCGATTGTCGTCCAGTAATTCGCGACATTCCCTCAGCGTAGTCTCGTAGTCGCCGACGATCTCTCTGAGGGATACAGGGTCATATCGGACCAAGGCTCTGTGGCCGCCTTGGCTCTGCAGCGAGGCATTTGCTGTGTTGATGACCTGGTCGAGAATGCTCAGGCTATGCGCCAGTCCCCGTATGTCGCTCCCGAACTCAGCATAGTTGCGTGCTAAGAAATGCAATCAGCAGTTAGTTTTTATCTCCTTGATTGAGTTCAGCATCAATAACGTGGATCCCTGTATGCGATGGGAGGGAATCTGCCTTGGATGAGGCAATGAGGTGGAGGCTTTGGCTTGGGGCCAATGATGTGATATGCGCGGTAAGAGAAACAAAGAAAATGTCACTGCCTTACATGCTCTAAGATCCTCTGTCCAGCCTAGATAATAAATGTCCCATGCAACACGCGCAAAGTTTACAATATCTCCTGGCTGGAGTGCCATCAGATGGGGAGAAGGGCAAAGGCCAGCGTCAGTTTGCTATCCAGAGTGCTAGACAAACAATGGGCTACAGACGTAGAGGATGTTTGGGGGAAGAGCAGCAAGAGGGCTCGCTCTGGGGGACCAAAGTTTCTTGTAAGACCTGAAGGATCAAGTCAAGCCCAGGGCTGGCACGTTGCATTTGGGGGGAGGGAGCTCAGATGTGGGAGCCTGTGCAAGACCGACGTCGGGGAGAGTCTCGCGGCCTGCATCGGGACTTGAAATTACCACGGTCAGCCGCTCAATCGAATACGTATTCAGATTTGTAAGGCGACTAGTGTGTTATCCTGTGGACTGGCACTCAAAGACGGCGAAGCACGTCTGGGGGGATCAACCACACTCGTGTGACACGTTGCCCAACTCTAGTCCAGCCGCCCCAAGACTCTCGAGCGGGGTCATTCACTCCCCCAGATGTGCAGACCGGACGATGAGTAGGGATATGGTACCCTGGCCCGGAAGCTATGTAAGCGGATGTGACGCAGATAAGCCAGATGGCAGGGGTAGCTGCGGGGAGAAAGAGATCCAAGCGCGGTCCGCCTCACTCTTACACAGGAATAGGAAACTCTACTCTATCCTGGGGTCTATTGGGGACGGGATGATGGTCAAGAGCTATTAAGCAATAGCTTTTGCCCGTCGGACAAGGCCAAAGCGCCGTCCCGAAGGCCGCTATATCTCATGTCCTCAGACACTATGCGGTCATCTCCTCCTCTGTGGTGCAGCTGAATGCAAAGCTAAGCCACTCTCGCCAATAGTGCACTCTTATGTTTGTCCTTATCTCCCTTCCCCCCCTCTTGGTTTCAGCTCAGCTTGGCAGCACCATGTCTAAGGCCTCACTCGTACCACATGAGCAACCAATCGACACCCTTCCGAGATCAGCACAGCCCCATTCTTCCCGATACCCTTGCTTCCCCAAACTAACCGGGCGATGCTACGAGTTGGGCGAACCACCAGGCGGACCACGGCTGCAGCCGACAGGGGGGGTAGCACTCTGTGGGATGCAAGACACTCGAAAGAAAGCTCTACCAAGCTTTGCCCAGCTTCTCGGCTTCCTGCGGTATGTGTGCAGGCGTCCGAGATCGCACAGCCAAGTGGAAAGGGCTGGTGAATAAGCGTGGTTACTTAACTATCAGCAGCCCTGCTTGCCGGCTGCCTGCCCATCGAAATCATGTGTTACCGTGGCGGACGACTCTGACCCTGTTCTCCTACTCCAGGTCCAACAAATAATCTCTGCCTCCCCGATATATACGCTGCTGGCCCCGGCCCCGCGTGATTGAAGGAACGGCTGAGCAAGTGTACCATTATGGAGAGCTTCCCTCATGCCCCAGGCGATCCGCGCCTGGAGGGGACAACCCGCCCAGACGACACAGATTCCATTGACAGTACTCGGGCGCGAATGTTATGGGCCAACAAAGGTCCGACCCAGGTGGTGTTTTACGCCCCAAAAGAGCGATTCCGCCTGGGTTATTTCGATGTGATGTGTCTGGTCATCAATCGCACCATCGGTGAGCCTCTTCATTTCTTCATGTATCACAGGTAACGGGATGATCAAATGATCGGCGATGGTGTTCAAATGATTTATTTGTCGTGTACTGTGTACACATTCGCGTGCCCGCTCAAGAATGCTATGGTCGCTTCTGTGGTTGAGGCCGCTTCCCTTCGCACACTTCTCCCTCCAGTCTTCTTGCTTCATCATGTCGTCCATTCTCTAGAACACATCTTGGATGTTGCGGGACTCTCTTCTTCACCTCCAGTAGATCAATGGCTCATAGATATGACTAGGTACTGGCATCTTCAACTCACCCCAGCGGGTCATGATTCACACAAGATCGACCGGCGCCTCACTCCTGCTCTGGTTCGTCGGCATGATTTACTGCCTCTCTGGCCTCCACGTCTATCTCGAATACGGCCTCAATATCCCGCGCTATACGATCGATGGTGTTGAGCAGCCTGTTCCCAGGAGTGGCGGTGACCTCAACTATCTCCAATATGTCTACCGCAAGCCGGCCTACCGCAAAGGCACGGTGCTTCTCAGTACGTGCATCTTCGGTATTGCCTTCATTGCGCTTGGAAATATGGCAGGCAACTCCATCAGCTTCGCCATCCGCGTTATGAGCGCTGCTGGTAATGATAGTCCCGACAACGGCACGGTGCGAGGCATCGCTATAGCTATTGCTATCATCACCTGCTTCATCCACGCAGTCTCTCGCCGCTTCGGAATCTGGCTCAATAACGTTCTTGCTGTCATCAAGGTCTGCATCCTCCTGCTCGTCATCATCACCGCCATCGTGGTCGGCGCCGGCGGCCTCAACACTCCCAACGTGCTGCCCGAAAATACCAATATCAAAACGGCATTCGAGGGGAGATCAACCGATCTGAACGATTATTCCCACGCATTCTTGGCAATCATCTTCAGTTTCTCCGGCTTCGAGCAGCCCAACTATGTCCTTGGGGAAATCTCCAGGCCCAGACGAAAGTATCCCGTCGCCAGTATCGTGGGTGTGACGACCACGGTGCTGTTGTATTTAGCCATGAACATCTCCTATGTAGGTGAATCTCTAGTCTCAACTATGTTATGCTTTCTCGTGTCTAACATGTCAAACCAGATGGTGGTTGTCCCTAAGGAGGATCAGCTCACTGCACCTGGCGGCGTTGCTGAGCGCTTCTTCGAACTGACCCTCGGCAATCTTGGCACGTCGGAGAATCAAATCGTTGGCAAGAGAATATTCAACGCCTTTCTCGCAGTTAGTAGCCTCGGAAACATCATCGTCATGACCTACACGGCAGCCCGCGTGAAGCAAGAAATCGCCAAGGAGGGCATCCTGCCATATCCCGCCTTCTTCGCTCAGAGCACAGACCTGTCTGTCGGCCGCTTTCTGCGATGGATCCAGAAAAAGGGCTGGTTCAACAGGCTTCTAAGCTCGCGATGGCTATCGCCGGACTCGCATCGGGAGAAGACACCCGTTGGCGCCCTCGTGCTCCACTGCGCCTGCTGCATGGTTCTCATTCTCGCCACTTGGAGACTGACGCCTGCCGAGGCTTACACGATCCTGACCTCGATCAGCTCGTATGTCATCAACGGAGCTATCGGGACATTTATCGGCTTGGGGATCCTGATCTTAAGGTTTAGGGGGCCTCCGAGCACGCCCGCGCCACAAGCAGCGAAACCCCTTGAACAACCAACTACGAAACCCTCGTGGAAACGTATGACTGGTAGACACTTCAACCCTGTTCTGAGTGTCGTATGCGCCAGTCTTTATACCGTTGGGAACTTGTGGCCTGTGGTTACCCAGTGGGTTCCCAAACGCGCAGATCCAAGCACAGGAGACTCTCCCACCCCCGAATATACATACACGGCGGGAGTAAAGTCCTTTGTCATTCCCACCATTGGCTGGGGCATCATCGGACTAGGAGTAGCCTGGTTCCTCGGCTTCCTTGCTGTCGCTCAGTATAAACGATACAACTACCATGAGGTGTTCGTCGTTGACAAGAAGCCCGACTTTGAGAATGCCAGCAGTGGCACCACAGGTGATGAGAGTGCGGCGCGCGGTAGCAATGGCTTGGTCATGGTCCATGAGACTGTGTACCTCAGCTGGGTCGGTAAGGAGACTCTTCGTCAGCGGAGGCCTGGTGCAGGGGCAAAGGACGACTTTGATGGATCGCTGCCTGTGCCTTCGGATCCCTACGCGGGGACAGATTTCAGCGGCCACTTCCAGGCTCAGCAGCAGCAGCAAAGTCATTATGGGATGGAAATGGGACCCATGAGCCCTCAAACGTATACCCAACATAATGCAGAGGTGTCGCCTGGGTTCCGCCCTGCGAGTTTCCAGACATCACCAATATCGCCAACCTCAAACGGCAACTTCCAGCCGACGAGCTTCGGTGTAAGCAACGATACCAACCCTGCTTCATATCAGTTTCATGGCGCCCACCAGCAACGACAACAGAGCCGCTCCACGAGAGGAGGCAGTTTTGCAGATGTCCGATATCAAGCAGATCATTCGTCTCAACGATTCCCCGCACAACCTTCACTCGCTGAGCAGCCAGTCGTAGAATACGACGACTTTGGCAATGTCATTGGGGGCCGAGGTGTAGGGAGAATGTGAGGTGTTTCTTGTATCCCTATGGCGTTTACGGTGTCGACTGAAGATGGATTTTTTGCTCATTATTCCCAGAAAGCACTCTTTTCAATAAGCGAACCAAATTATATATAGTATCATCAGACTTAGCGTATACCCAACATATCCATCCTATTTAAAAAAACCCAGGAGCATCCAGCTAAAGAAGCACTATTATATTATGCACAAAAACACGTATAACAAGTTGAAGTCTGCATCTTGACCGAACTAATTTCAACCTGAGAATCCGGCTATTCACTTGGAGATCCTATTCAGTGATTATGATTGCTAGTTGAGATTCAATAGTCTCCATTAAAGTATTTAGCTCGCAAGGTATCTACCGCTAGACAGCTTTAAGGCAGGAAGACATGATGAAGTTGAGTTCAGAAGAAAAGTATTGAGAATGTACGAGAGATTGCACCAAAAGCAATCCCAAACCACCTAATATTCAGGCTTCTTACCTTCCTTTAGAAGCTCCAAAACCTCCTGCAGGACTTTGCCCAATTCCACCCCAAGTCCTGCAGCCTCCCAACGCTCGGCATCCTGCGGGCTCATCTTCCCCAACGGCATGGAGCGCTCCATAGACTGTTTGTCGATGAACAGCTCCGGCGCCGTGGTAGCCACGTTCATCCGCAGGCCCATCAAGATCTGCCTCAAGTGGCCGCCGGCCCTGCCACCGCCCCGCACGCCGTAGGTGACAATGGCAGCCGGCTTCCCGGACCATTCGTGGTAGAGGTAGTCGAGGGCGTTCTTGAGGCTAGCGGGAACACTCCAATTGTACTGGGGGGTGACAAATATGAAGGCGTCGAACTGCTTGGCGGTGGCTGACCATTTTTGGGTGTGCTCGTGTTTGTAGTGCGGTGTTGGGTTATCCCGTGGCAGCTGCGAGGGAACTGCGGGTTCGTCGTAGAGCGGAAGAGATTGTTCTGCCAAATCTAGGAGAGCCAAGGTGGCATCTGGGTTATGACTTTGAAGCAGATTATAGACGGATTGCGTGACGAAGGGGTTGAGGCGAGGGGACCTCGTGCTGCAAGTGACAACAGCAATTCGATACATAATGTTTTCAAAAGGTAAGGTTAGTTATTTGAGTATATCAGAGTAGTAATTGGAGTCGATGGAATAGTTGGATCAGTATAGAAGCCAGTACTGTGCCTATTTATACTAAAACGATATCATGGAAATGGAAGGGTTTTGACAGACGTTAGACCGGCTTCTGCGGGTATTGCGGCGGGACATCTAACACTCAAAACATATCATAGTAGGTCCCGATATCTGGAATAGTCCGTCCGGCAACGAGAGCCGGCATGTTGGTAGCGGCTCCTGCGGGGGCTTTGCGGATATTGCGGCATCCTCCACTCTGATGACATGGCACTGGCTTTGAACGCTGATTATTCTTCCAGGTTGCCGCTGTTTCTTTCCTCGTTATCTCGTCTCCCGCAATATCCGCCATGCCTAGAAGAACTTCTCTGGCTGATCGCCAAATCACCCCCTCAAACCGGATGCGAGCGTACGCTGCGTGTACCGAATGCAGGCGTCGTAAGCGCAAATGCGACGGGGAAAGACCATGCTCATCCTGCAAGAATTATGGCTACAAATGCTCCCTCGCATCTACGAGGGAAGCCACTACGGGCGGTGGTTCCGTGTCCTCTCGACCGACACCTGTCGATAACACCGCGGCCCCATCACAAGCCATTTCCTCTGAAGAAGTCGTTGTTAGCAAGGAACGAGGACGACTGGTTAATGCTCACAGCGCTGCGGTATATCCGTTTCTTGTTGGTCGGGGGCTGGATGCTGCAGAGCCTCCAAGACTGCATTCCTACGCCTGGAATCTTGGTCTCCAGCCAGAACGGCGAGGGACCGTCGATACCCAGCTCTCCCAATATACCACCTTAGAAGAATGCCGGCAGCTTGCCGCGATGTATTTCAAAACTGTTCATTCCTTCTTCTCGTTTCTACGCCAAGATGATTTCTTGATGCGGATGGAGCATGCCTGGCCAAACCTGGAGGAAAGCAGTATAAACTTCGCCGCTGTCGTCGCAGGAGTCGCGGCACTGGGTTCTTTCTTCTCCCACCGACACCATCCGCAGGAGGAGAACCTCAAGAAACACTGCGTCTCCATCCTGGACCTGGCTTATTCGACGCCTGCGAGCGCCATTGACTTGGACTCTGTCTCTGGGCAGATCCTCAGGACGTTATATGCTCGACTGACCACCCGGCCGGCAGTGGCCTGCTTAGCAAGCCATAACGCAATGCACATGGTGGAAATCATGGGCTTACATGCCTTGTTCTCTGCACCAAGTACACAGAATCTCTCAGAGAAGATCGGTCTCGGTATCGAAGAGATTAGAGAACGACGGATGCTCTACTGGATAACTTCATTTCTGGACCAATTGCTGAGCATCGAGTATGGGATGACGCCGGTGGCTTTGTCTGTGCTATCAAGTGCCCACACGGCTTCCCATGAAGAATCACCCAACGAGAACCTCCTATCATCTCTCACGAAGGCTCTAGCTTCTGTACACCAAGCCTCGAAAAACACAGCAGGCATGAAAATACTCGACGATACCCTTCACCAACTTGACCAAATACCAAACATTTCACCCATAGCCTCACTTTTCAAGGCTGAAGTGTGCCTATGCCTGCTCCGGCAGTCCCCAGTCAACCAAGTAGCACGCAACGGCAACCCCGCGAGCGTTTCGATATTGAAAAAAGCCTTACAGGCTATCCCTGAGCTCCTGCTCGCCAGGCAGCCCTGGTGGTGCTTGTCAACTGTTCCATTCCAGACCGTTTGCGTATGCTTGGCGGCAGACACACCTCTGTACCTGTCTCTTTTGCCCGAGAGCATGAGCGCTCTCAGGGCCGTTGTCGACACCTTTGACTCGCACATGACACGGGAGGCTTTGAGGACAGCACAGCAGTTGATTGAGGCATCGAGGGAGAACACCATGTCCAAGCTGTCGTTCAAATCCTCGGCGTTAGGTGAAGGCGCGGCGACCGTGAGTACAGAAGCTACGTGGCTACCTGATGAGCAGACCCCGGATCTTCTAGGAAGCTGGCCGCTGGACTTGGACTTTATTCCATATTTTGAGTAGGGCTCGAGTAGAAGTCAATATTTCTCCTAAATATTGAGTTCTATGATAGGGTGAAGTTGTTAAGGCAGGATGTCGCGGTCATATTCGACACTGGAATATTATAATCGAGCACACATAAGATCACATATCAAGAAGCTTGTTACCACATAAAGGCGTAGTATTTCAGGGTATAATAACTAGATGGACTCATCTACACTATATGCTATGCAGTGAAAAGGGGGAATCTCATAATTATGATCTCATGCAAAACATCAATTACAGTCCGAAAACCAACACACTCTAACCAGAGAGCTAGGCACACCTCCCAACGTCTTTTCTTTTCTTATGCCTCGACCTGCTTGGAGGCGGCGGTCTCGGTGGGCTGGTTCTGGCCGAGGTACTCGGACTTCTTGAGCATGTTCCACTTGTCCTCGTCGGCGTCGAGGTGGCGGAAGCAGAACCAGAAGATGACACCGCCGACGAACGAGATGCAGGCGACGGTGGTGTAGTTCCAGACGAGGAGGGGGTCGCCGGAGAGGGGCACAAAGGCCTGGCCGATGGCGGCGGAGACGGCGCTCATGAAGAGGTTGACGCTCATGACGAGGGACTTCATGTTCTCGGGGGCCTTGGAGAAGGCATACTCGTACGAGGTGACATTGGTGAGGATCTCGGCGATACCGACGAGGATGTAGGGGAGGGACTGAGCCCAGACGTTGATGGGGGCGGGGGGGCAGGTCTCGCCCGTCTTGGGGGACTTGCCGTCGGTGACGTACCAGCCGCAGTCGGGGTTCATCTCGTAGATGTAGTACTGCATGACGGCGGCGGCGACCATGGAGAGGGCGGCGACGATGAAACCAGCGGTCATACGCTTGATGGGGGTGGCGGAGACGCCGATCCTGCGGAGGCCGGGGTAGAGGAGGTGGTCGAAGATGGGGACCATGATGACGATGGAGATGGGGTTGAGGTTCTGGATGATGTCGTTGGGGACGCCGTGGAGCTCCATGGTGCCGGCCTGGATGGTCAGGTTACCGGTCATCTGGTTGTAGGCGAGGAAGAAGACGGGCAGGAAGAGGAAGACCTTGCAGGCCATGAGACCACGGCGGACTTCGTCGACCCAGGCGTCATCGTAGGTCATCCAGGCAGGACGCTCAGCGATGGGGATACCAGAGGGCTTGGCGACATTCCAGTCGAACTTGAAAGCCTTGGAGCGGCTGCGGACGAACCAAAACATGCGCAGGAACTTGGAGAGCAGGGAGCCGGTGGGGGGAGTGAGCTTGTAGTTCTTCTTCTGGGACCAGAGGACGAAGGGGGCAGTGAGGAACAGGATGGTGGGGATGAGGAAGGCCAGCCAGAAGCTGTGAAGCTTCTCTACCCAGACCATGGCGATCTGTCCAGTGCAAGAGCCCACGTTGATACAGAAGTAAAAGTACAGGAAGACCCGGGTGTTGGTCACGGCGGGGTCAACAATGACACGCTCGCCATTGCGCTCCTCAACACGCATGCGGCTGTCCTCATTCTGCTCAGCAAGCAGGGGAGAGACGTTGGCCTTGAAGAAACCGGTACCAACACATAGGCAGAGAAGACCAATGATGAAGGCAGCGAAGGCTCCGTCGGCCTTGACGATGACGTCGGGGATGGAAGAGATGACGAGGATAACGTGGGCAATGGTAGAGATACCAATGGCCAGGTGCAGAGTCCAGAAACGACCCATGCGGGCATCAGCAATCCAGGCACTGCGACATGTTAGTCAATGAAATATTTTAATGGGATTTGATGAAGCGGTGACTTACCCAAGAAGAGGCATGAGGTAGGCGAAGAACTGGTTGAAGAGGGTCAAAGCCTGGGCGGCTCTGGCTCCCATGCCCAGAGCACCGGGCTTGCCATCGGTGATGATGGGAGAGCCGGTGAGGGATCCATCGGGGAGAGGGTTCTTGATGAAGTTGGTGTACAACACCGAGGATCCGTAGTAGGAGAAACGCTCGCACAGTTCTACGAAGGCGATCGTCCACATGGACCACTTGATGGGGCCGGAGACACGGCGCAGAGTGCGCAGCTCCTCCTCGGTGGGCTTGTCGGGCCACCACTCGTCGTCGTCGGAGCTCGAGTTGGCGTCATGGGCCTCGAGGGTCTCCTTGAGGGTCTCCTTCTCACGGGAGACATCAAGGGACTTCTTGCCGGGGTTGCTGTGCTCAGGGTCGGCCAGACCGGCACGGGCGATGACGTCCGTGTCGAGATTGACGGCGTTGGTCATCTTAGCGACGTTGTTCAGCGATTCTCTACAAATGTCACTTTGTCGAGAACAGTGTCACGCTGTTGTCGTTCCCTTTGGTGGTCACCTAGGATAGGTGAACGGGCAGGTATTAATAAGGGAGCCCAAGGATGGGGAGAAAGGGATGGAGGGAAAAGAGAAGACCTCAATGAACGCGTCGAGAGAGGACTTAATATATAGGACGGACTGGTCTGGTCCCAGGAGGACGGGGGGGAGGGGGCAAGACGGAGGGGTCTCACATGAAGACGGCAGCACATGCAACACGATCAGCGTGCCATGCTACCATCAGCAGGATGCCTGGCATTGCCGATGGGATTCCCGCTCGATGGGACCATGACAGAGCTTACAGGACATTGGCTTAGAGCGAGATAAGGCAAGGGATGCGACCACACAACCGATGAGGTGCAACGTTCTGGGGTGCTCAAGCTTAAGCTCTACAGATACACCACGGGCCAAGAGAGCAAAGGTCTGGCTGGATGGGGAAGGTCGCCCGGAAGGTTGCAAAAGAACCCTGCTCGCTCTCCGGATGCATGGTCAAAGCCAACAACCGTGGTGGGACCCCGGCCGAGACAATCGCCAGAAAGGTTAAAAGTCCCCAGGCCAATCACCTGGCGGCCGTCTTGGCTTTGGGACCATGTTTCGGTCCTTTTCTCAAAGGCCCAGTGGGGAGCAGGCGAGGATGGGGACCCCGACGGGCTCTCACTCTCTGACTGGTAACTGATGTGGCGACGAGATTGGGGAGAGGCAGACGCTCGGAGGACCCTGTTTTTGCTTTTTCCACTTTGGCCTCGATCCAGTGGAATGGCAGTAAGACAGTGATGGCTCGATGGGCCGTGGTCAGACGCCTGGAGATGCATTCCAGCGTGTATGTACCCCCTGATCCGCATGCAGTGGCACAACCCTCCCAGCCGTTGGCTTGGGCGCTGCATCCCCCATTATATCCTTGGACTGCCTGCCTGGGCGGGTAAGATCGAAGATACAAGATGGTGATGTGGTGCAGCAGACCATCTTGGCCCCTCGCTTCCATGGCTTCGTATCATCTTCTAGAAGGATGGTGGGCTTCTCGTCCTCCACCCATCCTCGGCCAGCTGCAGACTGATCGAGACTAGTCGATCACCGAGAAATGCACAGAATAGAATGCCTAGAACGGGAAGTTGACCATCGCCACCAGAGCGTGGTTGTGAGATGCCGTGGCCAGGGGAGCCCCGAAGAGTTTTTCTCTGGGCGATGGCGCAATCGCAGAGGAACTGGCATCAGATGCGATCCATCAGTCTGAATCGAACCACCACCGGATCCGACAGGCAATATGCGAGACAGAACGCCGGGGCATTGCATTCCCTCTCACATAGCACACAGCTAGCACCAGGCCATGGGCGACTTCACGCAGAGATCTTTCGTAGCGCGGCTCCCTTCATCAATCAGCTCATGGGCCGAGCAAACTAGCCTTAGTCAATCAAGTCATTCTCTAGTGACGGCGCCAAGATGGAACTTTTTCTCTCGGGCTTCGATGCTCCACCATCCCCATACAATATCAACACACTACACATAAAGTTCCAGCCAGATAATGCTTAAGCTTCAGCTGATGCTTATCACATTCACGGTGCAGGACAACACAGCACTCAGACATACATACAGCGGCATGCAAAACAAAGCATGTGAGTAGGTGTGTTGCTGATCGGTGGTCCAGCCGCACCAGCACACAACCAATCAGTCCAGTCCCGCGATCCCAGCCAGAGGAGGGGCTTGGCTTTGCCTCTCTGGTTCTTACACTGGCAGACAGCACGAGAGCAGTGCCCTAAATGAGGCATGGTCAAACAGTGGCTCGTCGGCTACCCCATCTCCCACGCAGTAGCCCGCGGGACAGGCTGGGCGACACCCCCGAAGCGGGCGAACTTTTGCAGAGCCGCCATCGCCAAGCAATAGTTTTACCTCTGTACTTCCAGCAAGATTATGCGCTGTAAGATGCTGAGGGATCGCACGTCGGTGGCGCCGCGTATGTGCTCAAGGAGGACCTCCGGCTGACCAACCCAACAACAAGGCACACTATCTCAACCGCCGTCTGGTCTGAACGAGACAGATCAGTCTAGGCAATGACGGCTGTGGCGCATAATTCCATTCTTTTCTTTTATTTGAGAGAGGCGACATCCTCCCGTGCAGTTGCCGTGCTTCCATGAAGCTAGCGCGGCAAAAGTGATCCTCCTAATTACACTCATTTCCGTCCATCGCGCGCGCTTGTGGCAGGTTCCGTGCGAGACAGTCGCAGGCGTACAGCAGGGCATCACATTAATGACTGATGGCAGACCAGATCAACCGATTGTGCCGTGGATGAGTGACTAGGTGCAACCAACCAAGACAGGCCCCAATGTAAGCATAAGCAGACACTCACCACTCTCCCAAAGTGCGAATTTGTCAAGCTCCCTTTCCCTAGCTCGGCTCCTTCAGCGGACAGTCGCGACGATAATGCACAGGCCCCTTTTGCGTGGGAATGTAACCTTCCGGATGCAACCATCGCCCAGAGACCACCAGCCGCCATTGGCTGGTGATAGATTGCTGACGCCGGCCCTTGTCTCATCCAATATGTACTCCCCTACTGTGAATGTGAATTACTTGTCCCTCTTGGCCATGAATTCCCGACTTTGCCCCCGCATTCACACCCGATGGCCTCTTGACTGTCCCTTCTCAAGCGCCGAGTCGGGCCCTGCCTCTCCCGATCCCAGCGAAGGGGACACCATTTTAGTTAGGGGCACTTTGGGGGGCGAATCGAGAATGCCTGCTATTGATAGTGGGAAGTTGCTACCATTGTGCTATGGAAATCAATTGAAAGTAGCCGCAAATAAACCCCCCCCTACACGGGAGATCACAAAATCGTGCCGGCCTGCATGGCAACGGGCGCCGTACCCCGGAGACAACATGAGTCCTACTGCATGTCCATCACAGTCCCTTTCATGTGTTGATTTTAGGTAGTGGCCCTTTACCATCACATTACGTTTATACGAGATGCATTGCCACGCGCTTCCCCAGACCCCAAAGGCCGTTGCAGCGCAAAGATCCCCCAAGGGTCTAAATTCTGGAGTCTGTTACGTGAAAGCGAGATACAGTTTGTGCCATTACGTACAAAAATCGGTCCCTTTGTGAGAAGACCTGGGGAAATCCAGCAGGAGGACTGAACACCCTGGCCCTCTGCCTGAGATCGAACACGAGGACGCTCATCTTGATGTACGTTCGGCCGCCCCAAAATCAGTAATTCGGCCACAGTCGGCTACTTGAGGCTCACTCTTTTCACGCCTGGACAACAGGAGGCCTTCCCTCATAGGCCCCTCATCTCAACCACGGCTCCACGGCGCTCCTTTGGTCTCCCACGACATGCCAAGGGCTGTCTGGATTCCCGATTTGTCGGCTGATTCCGAGTCTCACCCTACCAAAGCCGTCCAGCTCAACACCTTCGAGACACACTGCTGCAACGGCCCCGGGGTGGCGGAGAAAACGGTGGACCAGGCCATGGGTTGAGTCCTTGGCAAAGGAGCCCCCGCGCGCCGCCAAGGACGCTTGACAGGTGATCTCTGGGTCCGCTAGCATCCTGGCGCTGAAATGAATCAGCATTTATTCGTCTGTTGCTCAGTCTGCCAAGGCCCAAAAGTTCGTCCGTCTCAGAGGGGGCATTTGAGGATATATCGGTGGCCCCATCGTTGTGAAGATACCGAGGCGCCGAATCGAGCACAATTTATGCTTTCATTAACCATGAATCCATCCCTCATGCGCAGCAGGGATTCCCAATAAACACTATTCACTGGGGCGGCCGCGAGGGAGGCGACAAGCGAGCATCTTTACTCGGATAGGCAGCAGACTGTGAAGGTCCCGCCAGCACAAAACCACCCCTGCAAATCCCATTTCATTGTTCAGTTTGATTTGCCTCAGGACATTGCCCCCTAAATAAGCCCGCTTATTGCATGTGGTGGTGCAACTGCTCCCCAACACCTGCAGCGTCCCAATGTTTCCCTTGCTTTGAGCTGGTGGTCAGCCCATCAGTTCGTCTGAATCGCAAGGGCATCGCCCCTCAAATCGATTGCTTATCGATGCAGATGATCAATCGTTTTATTGCCATCCTGTTTGTCCAGGCCCTCACGTGGTTTGGATTGCCTTGATCACTGCAGATGCTTGTTTCTGAATATCCAGGTGCTTCAATCTCAAGGCGCATGCAACTTTGACCAGACTATCAAGAGTGATACAGTGTGGAATAGGATGAAATCAAGTGCCTACCCTTCCAGCATGTCTATAGTCTGGAATTTCGACGACGCTTCTATTGCACGTGTAGACAACCAAGACTTGGCCCGGAGATATCGGCAATCCGGCACGCTGTAGATGGGAGATGTTATCATTCTAGTAAGAAGCAGGCCTCGCGCCATGGATGTCATACATTTGAAATTGGCAAAGGCAACGCTACTAGAGCCGCCCTGTCGTATTGGTAATCCCAAGCAGTTACTCCTCCTCAAGCAGTCCCATCCTAGAGCGAGTTGGCATCTCCTCATCTATATCAGGACCGAGTCATGCGGCGAGCGTAAAAGAGTCTTTCCTGCCATGAAGGCTCAGCCTTACATTTTAGAAGTCAGACACCTTCTCGGTGCCATGATAAACCGAAGTTCTCACTCCAGGCCAAAGGCCAATCTCGCACTTACCGTAGAGCATTGGGCCAAGAGTTGCTAGGCCATTTGCGTGACTGTCGAGGGGGAAGCCCGAACCCACATATCAGCTTACACTACTATTACAAGGTCGTTATGCCCATCAGTTAGACCACCAACTTTGTTGAATAAAACATTAGTAGAATATCGTAGGTATGCTTACCTTCCTGGCTTCAGCATGTCTGTAAACCAACACTTTGGAGGTTGGATGCTCTCTAGGTAGAGGCTACTCCGCAGATTGCTACTATCTACCACAGCCTATTTTCCAACGTTGATTCCGAGCATTGCAGCCTTGGCGTAAGATTCGGCATTTCCATGCCGGGGAAAGCAAGGTTAGGATCCCCTCCACGTCAAATACTCATGCCAGTATCAGTCATGTTTGCATGTAGCAGGCCAGTTC